TAGTCTCTAGATGGAAAAAGCCAGATCAAAGATACAGTATTTCTAAAACTGCTGGTTAAAAAGATAAAAGTGAGATAACAGGCATCAATTTTTCACTATAAATCTCCAGGTTTAGTACAACATTAACATTTCCAGTAAAAGCAAGGTTTTATATACCTGAACTCTAATGGCCTATTCTGAAAATATTTACGTCAGGAAAAGCATGGTATTTGCATGCCAAAAGCAATTTTAGTGCCAACGTTTTGCATTCCCTTCCCATTTAACTCCTTCCCATCAACCTGTGAGTGTTGGATGCTCTGCCTAAAGTCTATCCAGCACCCCTCCCCGAGCAGTGCTTCAGGGGAAAACGCTCCAGGGGTATATTAAGGCAAAAAGTAGAACACTTCTAATAAAATGCACTGCACTTGTGTGATGGCTTAGGATGGTGTCGTTAGCATGGTCTGAACCAATATTTTTACCTCCATACTCTGCATGCAAAACTACTCATTTCCAAGGGACTAATGGCCTAAACCAAAGTGAAAGCTGGGAGTAAGAGAGGGGCAGGAAATCGGGCAACATGGTGCAACAGCTCAGAAATAACAGGTCAAAACTCTCTGCAATTGGATGAGGTTCCTGGAAGTATGGGTAGTACTCCATTAGTTTTAGACTAAAATTAAAATCAGAGTGTGATTGTGTGAGAGCCAAGTGTCTCGTCTTCAACATATAAGCATTTTTATTTGTTGCGAAAGGAGGGCATCTGGCATCTTCTTGGCCATGCACAGCAATTGTCAGGACTGACACTGCAGAAAATCATCTATTTTACCTATTTTTCTACTACAAAGTAAACTTATTTAGGTGTAATAATGCAGGCTAACGGTCCTACACTGCAGCACATGGGACTCTCAGAGGTACGGAAATTGGTATTACTTCAGTTTTTGCAAACTGTAATTTCCTAACTTTAAGGAAGCTTTAGCAACATAAGCTGATTTTCAGCAAAGTTTTCTTTCTTCCTTGCTTCATACCAGCACGTGCAGCCCACAGCTTTTCAGGATAAGCCATGAACATTATTGTAACTATGCAAAACATAGCAAATATATAGAAGAATTACAAGTCTCTACTTGCCTTATCTCTTGGGACTCTTAGGTTTGGGGTTTTTTTGTTTGCTTGTTTGTTGGGGTTTTTTTATAGAATAAAATTAGATTTCAGCATCTGTCACCATCAAGAAAAAGCTCATCCCTGGCTCCCACATGAAAACATTGTAACCAATGCACAGTTACTGAACCATGATGCCTTAATGATCATTGCACAAATCAACTTTTTTTTTATTTGAAATAACGAAATTAAGAATGTGCTTTCATAATTACTTGAATCAGACTGTCAGGTTATAAATTGAATAAAACCTCAATATGATTAAATTGTAAAAGCAACACATACCACACAAATTTATACATATGTGTGGATTCTTTAATTTTTACTTATTCAGGTGTGCTGATTGAATTTTAGTAAACGATATTGTTAGTATTGCTGTTCTACCACTAAAAAACAATAACCTGGAAGCAGACAAAAAGCACTTGGTAAATCTTTTTTCTTCTGTTTTTCTAAAGCTCTCTTTTTAACATAAGCTAGCAAAAAATATGTAGACCTATTAGGCAGATAACTTGCAATAAAAATGTAAGAATTTAAATACTGATGTTTGGTGTTTTGCCAATTACCAATCTAGAACTCCCAAAATATATGGTGTATCTAACCAATATGAATTCTAGTATCTTTCCTAACTCTTCAGTATAACCATACTAACTTTTAAAGTATTTATTTTGAATTTAACAAAAGTTGAATTTATTCTGCAGATAATGTATCAATCCTTAAACACATAGAAACCTTCAAAATACACAGAATACATACATTCCTATACAGGAAAAGAATTCAACATTTGCACAAATCTTCTAGCCAAGTCCCCAAACCCATCCAAACCCATGTGCCAGATAGTCCCTTCTCTTTGGGAAAGCCAGCAAGCCATGAACAAAGTGTACTATGAAACTGCAAGTCTGCAAATCCTCCCTCACCTAAGCCCAAGCATGGTCTCCCTGCTCCCGTCACCCCTCCCTTTCCCTGTGCTGTGGCCTCTGCCGCATGGAGCCCCTGTAGCCGGCTGCTTGGTTGACCATCAGGCCCATACATGGCCCCCTCTGAATCAGGTAACTGCTGCCAAAGGCACTAACACAGCACAAGGGAAGATGCTCCTTTTCCACCTGGGTGCTACCTAAATAGAAACTTCTGTAGCGCACCATTTAATAGCTCTTCTGTACAGAGTGCTCTAGTCAGCAGGACATTATCTGCAGTCTCCTGGCTCAGGCAAGCCCAGCCACCTTGCAAATGCTGGCTGCTGAGACATCCAATCTAATGTTGACCCAAATCAATCCCCAAATAAAAATAAAATAAAAGAGCCCTCCAACAACCAACTATCTTTGTCCACTGGCAGAGCTGTTTTAAGTCACATACAGTTTTATACCATAAATCCAGACAACACTCACGAGTTAATTAAGTTTTTATATCCAAAATATGGTACAAGCAGCAATGTTAGATATTAGTTATTTTAAAAACAAAACTCTTAACCAATGCATCAGTTTCTAATATGTGTCCTCCAGACTTTTCACTATAACTGGAAGTGATTATTCCAGGATTTCCAGTTCTAAGCAGGAAATCAGTATCTCCAAATTAAAAAACCAAACAAACAGAAAAACAATGGACCATTCTCACGAGAGGTTCTCTTAAAAGAACATGTTTGAGCAAGCCTCTTTTTTGTGCAAGGGAGACTTCTTCAACCCAAGAAATATTTCTCTGTACCACTGACAAGCTCCAATGCACGATTTTTACAGACATATCTTTTAATATATGAGGCTTTGCTACATATTTAGAACTTATTGATTGGCTGACTAGTGGTTAGAGAAGACCCAACACATCCAGTTTACCTAAGAAGCTACCTCTGTGAAGCAGCTTCTACTACAAATGGCACTTTGGCTAACTACAGACCTGAAAGCTTGCTTAACACATAAATTAACACTGCATTGCTTAAATTCAGGATAAAAAAAAACCCTCTGAGAATACAGGCATAATCTCTCCAATAAAAGGGAAAAGAACTAATTACTTGGTGTTGTTTGTTTTCTACACTTGGTAGCAAAGTTTGTGCAAGAATCTAAATTTTATACCAATACTCTAAATAAAACAACACTGCACCACATCCACTGGAAGCCTTTGTTCTCTACTTTGATTACCTGTTTCTCTTGAAGCCAGCACTGGAAGAGCTGTCCTGCCTAGAACTTTTAAGACTACGCACTTAAATGAAATCACACAAACCAGATCAGATCAAAATTATGTGGACTGAAAGATTGGATTTGTATCTTAGTTTTGCAGAGAACTGGAATGAAAAGGGGAAGGTGTAGAAAACGGACAGTTCTCCAACCCTGGGCCTTGACATGTAAATAAAGACATCTGAGGAGCACACAGGTTGGAAGCTGCTGTAACATTCTATCATAATTAGAAACATTTCAAGAGCCCTGTAATTTCCAATCAAAATTACAGTAATTTCTGATATACAAGCCATGATTCATGACAGAATTTTTACATTCCATGGGAGATTATAGCGGCCTGATGTATGACACACTGAGTACAGCACTAACATAAACAATTCAGTTTAATGTTTAAACAGCACTTGGTGTTTAGAATCCAACAATAAAAGAAACATATTATTGTAGAAATTATCACTTTGACAGTGATTGAAGGGTAGGCAGGCATGTGGCCTAGAAAGCTGTAATTTTTACAGTCCACAGCTTGAGTTTAATCATTTTGATATAACATTTCCAAAATATCCCTTTAAATGCTCCTTACAACATATAACTTAAGAGACAACATCCTTTCTGTACAATGAAATGGCATAAACAAGGCAGAAGTAAAAAGTTAAAGACTGTTGAATAAAATGCTGACAACTCGAGAAATATTGGTCTAACTTATCATTACCAGCTTTCCCTGGAAGATGCTGTATTCTATGAAGCAATTTCAGAAAAGTAAAGGAATAGTGACTAAGTGGACTCACCATTTAATCTAACATGAAAATTCAACATTGCAAGCACTGGTGCCTTTAACATCTCTTTCAAGCATTAGTATAACGGGTCTTTCCCGTTTTTCTGCATGTTTTTCCTTTACTTGCTTCTTGAGTGTATTCTCACTTAGATCAATGCTTTTGCACACTCCGGTAATCTTTCTCACAAGACATGTCACTTGTGATAATCGCACCCAACAAGTTCTTGCTGATTTCCCTCTCTTGACACTAAACCTGACAGAAACTCTTCAGTTAAAGAAAACAGAATAGGAAACCACACAACAAAGGCTCAAAACTGAATATACAATTTATATGTATGCACACGCACAGGTAACCAAGCAGCCATCATATTCCAAAAGATCATACCTATTTTCTCAGATATAACTTGTAGAACTGTAATTTGTTGGGGTTTTTTTGTTTGTTTGTTTTGGATGCAGAGAATGCTACCCCACCTCCCATGCACAACCTCACCAGCCAGTCTGCTGCACCCAGGCCTGTTTCTCAATAATATTTCTGCAAAAAAAGAGCCAACCCTAGGGCTCCTTGTTACAGCAGACATAACTGCAAAACACCAAAGCCTCCAGATGAGTTTGGCAGCTTGCAAACAGCTTTTGACAGGTGCATGCCACCTAAGAAGTGAGGAACCTGATGCTTGCTGAGCCATGTGAGATCCATGGGTGCGCGGAGAAGGAACCTGGCTGGGGGTGTGGGGGAGGGATGTGCCTTGGGAAGCCACTTCTCAACCCTGCCCAGTCAAAGGTAACCCAGATGTTACCCTCTGGACTCAGCAAGGAGCTTCAAGTTGCTGAACAGGCTGATGTGCTAACTTGGCCGCTCATTGTAACACCCCCTGCAACAGCTCAGAACCGAAGGGGAAGAGGGAGGCACATGGGACAGGGAGGCTATGGCGCCCTGGGAAATTTACCTGGCTTTTGGTTGCCGCGACCTTTGCAAACAGTGCTTGAGACACCTTAGCTCTCTTCATTTCCTGCTG